CTGCTGCTTATTGATACAGGATTATACTGGGGAGACTGTTAGTGTAGGTACAGATCTACTTAAACTATTCAACATGCTGAAATATCTCCTTATATCTGTCATAAAATAAATGGAGATGGCAACCTTTTTTACCGAGCAATTTCTAAAGCTGTAACTGGGACTGAAAGAAATCATATGCTAATTAGATCAACTATTTGTACTTTCATGACAAACAATGCCTTAGAATTATCAAATTTAGTTTTGCCACACATGCCAAATATTACTAGTGAAAATGCTGCAAATGCAATGAGGGCACATTTATTCCATAAAAAATTAAGCCAATTTGGTACATGGGCTACTGAGAATGAAATTTTTATTGCTGCAACTGTATTTTGATTAAAGATTCATGTTTCAAAACTGTCGACACAAAAGAAAGCCCGTTCTTGGTATACATTTAAATTATTGTTTCATAATGAAAGCTGTCATGACTTATCCAAGTTTAATGTATACCTATTTCATACAGATGGAAGAAATCACTATGAATTGGTTGACTTGAACCTCACATAGTGTTAACAATTTTTAGTCAAATTATGATTGTAATATTGTAGCAATTAATTTATTTCAGTATATCTCAAACAATACCAGCGATGACATTACTTCAGCTTTAAAGGTAAATAAGTAGTCACATACATTTCTCATGTTCATTTCTCTTTCAAGGTTGGGCAGCAATATACAGTACTACCTCCACGTGGTGCTGCCTGGGGTCTCTAGTATTACATATAACCTAGAGATGCTAAATGTACTGTGACATGTACTACTTTTTTTAACCCTTGTATGTTAACAGGTTCCAGCAATATTCAACACTGAGTTGTTGGTTACCTAGTTTTGCATATATAGGCGAAGTACTTACATAGGTGGTGAAACTTACAGTATGGCAATGTATAGGTCAAATTATTTAATACCACAGGAATCTGAGAAGTAAAACGCAACAATTTCTGAAACATTTAAAAAACAATTTTCTTTTTTTTTCAATTAAAGCAACATACATGTAGGTATGTCTATAATAAGCAAGGAGATAAGTAATTTTATTTGTTCTCTAAAATGAAGTTTCTGACAGACAATATACTGTCACAGATCATTTTCAGTGAGTTGACATCTAATAAATTAATAAACTGCAACACCTTGAAGTCCATCTCCACTTCCCTGCTCCCAACAGATACAGTAGCAGAACCATAGCATAGCAAAATCTAGAAAAATTAATTCATGACATACAAATACATTACCATAGTTTACTTGATTTCCCTCAATAAATAATCCTAATTGATATTGGTTATTATCAGATACATTTTGTATCATTACACCCAGCATATAGAATAGTAACTGACCCACATCACTTCGCTGAGGTATTGTTGATGAGTATTCTTTCATGACTTTATCCTAAAGACAAAAATAAGTAAGTAAAAAAAATGTCATACCTCTGCTGTAACAATGGTGAACATGCGGCAGTTCTTTAAGACAACATCCGGGACATCCTAAAGGATGAATAAAGATTGATAAACATTGGGACAACCAACTCACTACAAGGAGTATCTGGTCCTGTGTTCATGGTACAATAGCTGGCCTGACTGTATCTATAAAAAAGTAAAAAAGCAATCCTGAAAAAAATGTGAAGCAATTATAGGGAATATCAGATTAGTATTTTGTGTGTACCCTTGCCACAATGAAATTACAATTTGCTTGGTTAGAATTGTCACATAGCTAAGGTTGCTGTGGCCAAATTGTTCCATAAAAATTCTTTTTCAAAGTGGCAAATCTCCCAATACACTGCATATCATACAATAGAATGTTCTAGAATGAGGAAAGAGCATGTTCAGAGAGTAGGGTGATTATTTAGTGCGAGACATTAAAATAATAGTGAGTAGCTAAGGGCTAGTGTGAGAAATTAAATAGTAGGACTAGGACAAACTTTAAGCTTCCAAAGGATTTGAAGCTTGGTTGGAAGTGCTGCCATTTGAAGCAGAAAATAAGACTTTGAAGCGTCATTATTAGTAGTTATTAATAGATAAAGTGGTCAAAAGTTTACATAGGGATTGTCTATCCAGACCACAACTTTATATAGTGGGCTGAACTATAATTTAGACATTATAAACAGAGGCGGGTGATTTTTTTTGATGTACAATAAACCTTCAAAGGCTTCAAATTTTTTATGTAGAAGGTTGAAGGTTGCAAATGACCTTAGTCTCAGACCTATTAAATAGTGAATAGCTAAGGACATTAAATAGTGAGTAGCTAAGGCTAGTGTGAGACATTAAAAAGTGAGTAGCTAAGGGCTAGTGTGAGACAATAAATAGTGAGAAGCTAAGGGCTAGTGAGAGACATTAATTAGTGAGTAGCTAAAGGCTAGTGTGAGACATTAAATAGTGAGTAGCTAAGGGCTAGTGAGAGACATTAAATAGTGAGTAGCTAAGGGCTAGTGAGACATTAAATAGTGAGTAGCTAAGGGCTAGTGAGACATTAATTAGTGAGTAGCTAAGGGCTAGTGAGAGACATTAAATAGTGAGTAGCTAAGGGCTAGTGAGACATTAATTAGTGAGTAGCTAAGGGCTAGTGTGAGACATTAAAAAGTGAGTAGCTAAGGGCTAGTGTGAGACATTAAATAGTGAGTAGCTAAGGGCAAGTGAGACATTAAATAGTGAGTAGCTAAGGGCTAGTGAGACATTAATTAGTGAGTAGCTAAGGGCTAGTGAGAGACATTAAATAGTGAGTAACTAAGGGCTAGTGTGAGACATTAAATAGTGAGTAGCTAAGGGTTAGTGTGAGACATTAAATAGTGAGTAGCTAAGGGCAAGTGAGACATTAAATAGTGAGTAGCTAAGGGCTAGCGAGACATTAATTAGTGAGTAGCTAAGGGCTGGTGAGAGACATTAAATAGTGAGTAACTAAGGGGTAGTGTGAGACATTAAATAGTGAGTAGCTAAGGGCTAGTGTGAAACATTAAATAGTGAGTAGCTAAGGGCAAGTGAGACATTAATTAGTGAGTAGCTAAGGGCTAGTGTGAGACATTAATTAGTGAGTAGCTAAGGGCTAGTGTGAGACATTAAATAGTGAGTAGCTAAGGGCTAGTGTGAGACATTAAATAGTGAGTAGCTAAGGGCTAGTGTGAGACATTGAATAGTGAGTAGCTAAGGGCTAGTGTGAGATATTAAATAGTGAGTAGCTAAGGGCTAGTGTGAGATATTAAATAGTGAGTAGCTCAGGGCTAGTGTGAGACATTAAAAATGTGAGTAGCTAAGGGCTAGTGTGAGACATTAAAAAGTGAGTAGCTAAGGGCTAGTGAGAGACATTAAATAGTGAGTAGCTAAGGGCTAGTGTGAGACATTAAATAGTGAGTAGCTAAGGGCTAGTGTGAGACATTAAAAAGTGAGTAGCTAAGGGCTAGTGTGAGACATTAAATAGTGAGTAGCTCAGGGCTAGTGTGAGACATTAAAAATGTGAGTAGCTAAGGGCTAGTGAGAGACATTAAAAAGTGAGTAGCTAAGGGCTAGTGTGAGACATTAAATAGTGAGTAACTAGGGGCTAGCGTGAGACATTAAAAGTGAGTAGCTAAGGGCTAGTGAGACATTAATTAGTGAGTAGCTAAGGGCTAGTGAGAGACATTAAAGAGTGAGTAGCTAAGGGCTAGTGTGAGACATTAAATAGTTAGTAGCTAAGGGCTAGTGTGAGACATTAAATTGTGAGTAGCTAAGGGCTAGCATACTGAAAGAGAAAAATACACAGACTCATGGAATTATTCATTCACATCTTACCATCATCTTCATCCGTGTCCAATGTCTCATCTGTCTTATCTGAAGAAGATTCGAGCTCTTCATAGTTAACCTCAGGGACACTGCATTTTGTCCAACTCCTAGCTCTTTTTGGACTCCGGCTGTGGTCGCTTGATGAGCAAGAATCGAAAAGTGGCTGTGGAATCTTCTGCTGCTGGAAAATGTAAACCTCAAACTCTCCAAGATCATGCTGAGACTTAGGGCTAAGACTTAAAAAGAAGATAAGCAAAAAAATACTATTGGAACTTACACATCACAATGCGTGGCATGGGGTACACATAAGGAATATGTCTTGATGAACTCAAGCAATACTCTAGTGAATGCCTTTGCGGAGCTGTTATCAGATCTGTTCACAATCAAGCTCTTTAATGAAGTTGCCGCACCTTTTATTTCAAATGGCTAGGACAAAATAGTTAACACACAAGGTAAAATACAAAAACATACAATATCTGAAGGTACATCACATGTCTTTAAATCTGCCCATGACACCTTTGACAACAAGGGTAGTAGCAAATTAGCTCCTTTTACTTCTGCACACCTACAAATGGAATATAAAGAAAATGGCACTTCATGTACAATCCACATAATCCAAATTAATAGTTATTAAATGACTACAGATTCTCAGACTACAGCAATGCCAACACACCTCGTACAATGCAATGGCCGGTTGAATGGGATGTGTTCTTTTATATCCTCTACCACCCTCACACTACCAGTAACACAAAAACCCTTATACTGTAAAAGAGATGACTCAAACCACCCTTTAAATGATGTAAATCTTCTGTATGAAGATGCAGCTATAGATAGTACTATATTATAAGCAAAAGATGTTCAAATGTACAAACAAATGCCTATAGTCATGCATACTCATTTTATTTCTCTTATGAGATTTGTCTTTGTCTGTTTTCCAGGAATGAACCCTCTTCATTGCATTAGCTCTAAAAATGCATAGTATATATAATTAAAGAGTTTAATGAACTCTCACTTTCTTTGAGAAGTGCTAACCTCTTGATCTCTAATAATAATAAAATAATTAAAACACAAACCTATACAAAAATGAACCTCCTGGATTGATGCATGGACAGCACAAATTAACTAACACAAAATATCTGAAAATAAAGGAAAAGATATGATAGGTAAAGCCACTAAAATTATTAAAATGTTTGAACTGCATTTTGATATTACTGTAGGACGATTTATATTCGCAAATTTTTTCCACCCCTAAAACTATCATAGCAACCGGGTGCTATTTTAATTTAAAATGCCGCAGTATTGAAACACAGCAACAGACTGCAGTGTTCTGGAGTTGCTATTCTTCTTGCTGTTACTAATCCTTGGCTGCTTCAGCCTGTTCTTTTTAGAAATACCCTACCCACTCTGTCATGCTGTTTCTTGGGAGTTTATACCCATTCTAGTTAGTGCTTATAATTGACTGGAAAGGGGAGCCTGGTTTATAATCATAATTGACCAACCAGCACCAATTATGCAGCAAGCACAAGATATGGCTCCACTATTGCCCTAGTTCTGCACCCTTAAAAACATAACTGTAAAGACTTATCTCACTTAGATCCAATATAAGAAATATAACAGAATAGACAGAACTCTAGTATCTGGCTTAGGTACAGATGTGAAAACTTATCAAAACTGAGCAGCTGTAACTGAAACTATGTTTGGCTCTGACGGGTCTGCTAGATTATATTTCGCTCTGTGGTATAAAGAACCTAATTTGTTATAGTTGTTTCAAAAAATTTACCTATTACCTTTAAAAAGAACCGGTAATCATTTAGTCTGTGCACTGCTAAACAAGCAGTGAAAAAGAATGGAGCAAATATTCACCCAGTGCAGTCACTTTAGAAACTCTGAACATTCGCATTAAGTATCAAAATGGCAACGAATCTCATTCGGAGGTGACATCACGCCCAAATAACTAGTTTATTATAACACAAGATGAATTAAGAAGTAGAAAACTATCCTACTTCAGATACCGTACGCGTCTTAATTTTCGAGGTGTATTAAATTTCATTATTTTTGTGCTCACCTTAAATCCACGAAATTTAAACCATCTCTATTGCCATTCTATTGTAAGTAGAGTTGTAGACTATGGCCAGAACACGAAAATTAGCTCACATAAATATTAACTTTTCAGCAAATTTCATTGAAAACATGAAATTTTGAACCCTTGAAAATTTGAACGTATACGGTATATCAGTCAAAGTCAATTTATTCAATTTTTGTAACTCTGTCTTCATACAGTCATTTTACATTCCTCTTTCTTCACCATATGGCTACCGCTTCTGCTTAATTTTCATCTATTGAAGTTACTACCTCTGATGTACTTGAGGCTTTGTCTAAACTAGACTGTTCAAAGGCTGTTGGGCTTGACCCTATTAGTGGCCAATTTTTGAAGATGTGTGCTGCGTCCCTTTTTTCTCCAGTTACTATTGTTTTTAGAGAGTGCTTACAGTACGGCTGCCTTCCAGATGACTGGAAGATCCATAGGATTATTCCAATCATTGAGTCTAGTGATTGTAATGATATTGACAATTTTAGGCAAATCTCTCTATTGTGTATTCTATCCAAGGTCCTGGAATCAATTGTATACAAAAAAGTAATTACATTTGTTCCAACCTCTCTCAGTCTTAATAACAATTTGGCTTTTTGGTTTCTCAGTATCCCCATTGCTGCTCTCTTTTAACACGATAATGAGTCATTGTTATCATGATTTGCCTAGTGACATGGTCTATTTTGACTGTAAGAAGGCATTTGATTTGGTCTTGCATTTGATTTTTCTCTACAAACTGTGGTCGATAGGCATCACTGGGTCTCTGTGGAGATAATTTTAACGCTACTCATTAGATAGACATGACCTTGTTAGTATTGATGACCACTCTTTTGATATACTTCCAGTCAGGTCAGGTGTGCCACAAGGTAGTATACTGGGCCTACTTCTTTTTCTGACCTTTGTTAACTAGCATGTGTTTTGCACTCATCCATGCTCCTATTGGCAGATGATACTAAACTTCAAAGTGTTATCTGTAGCCTGTGTCACTCCAGTCTGACATAAATGAATTGGTCTCATGGACTCTTTGAATTCCCTGTTTATTAACCCAAGTAAGTGAGCCGTCATGACATTTTCCTTTAACAAGTGTAGCTCTCCAGTCTACTGTGTGGATGGTGGTCAGATCAATGTTCCTCTACATCATAGTGAGCTTGGCATAATCATTTCAGGTTATTTATCGTAAGCAAGTCATTATGACTGCATCTGCTTCAAAGCCAACAGTTCTCTGTCTTGAACTTATAGGACTTTTTCTACCTGTCCAGGGGTGTATCTAGGAATAGAAGAAGAGAGGTGCTGAAGGTGCGCGAAGCGCGCCGCAATTTTGGCCACACCCACTTTTACGGCGGTAAAACGGCCTTTTTCTGCATTTTTGTCAATTACGGGTGGGGCCAAGATCATTTCAAGCATACTGCTATGTGAGCTGTCATGTTACTGGTACTTCTGATTGCTCCTTAAAGCACTGGAAACTGCTGAAATCATGATCAGGAGGCTAGATAACTTTGTTAGGAGGCTTGGTAGTGATGCAAGAGTCCAGGATTTGAGTA